AAAATAAAAAATTGATGTCCAATAAATCTGTGCGAGTATTCAAAATAAACAGACCTGCAATGTATGCAAAATAACAAATGACCATCTGATACTTGATAAGGCCGCTCAAGAGCTTATAGAAAAATTTATCTGAAGTCACAGTATTGACGAGCTGTTGACTGAGAATGCGGCCATATACATAAAGCATTGCTGTAAAGAAAAAATGCCTGAAACAAAATATTGTACAAAATTACAATAGTAAATAGATGAAAGCTATTCCTGAACAATTAGGAGCAGTGCAGGAACTTTGAGTGGAAAGTTTTACAAAAAATACTGGGCATTTTTTTACCAATTGATAAACTTAAATCCTGGAAGACGCTTATCTTCGTGAGCTCTTCTAAGCAGATGGAACAGCTCAGATGCCATGAATATTTGGATGACAACTACCATTGCACAAATATAAAGATGGCCCAAGTAAAGAATCAATATGACACTCCCAAGCATCCACAATGATGAAAATGTGCGAATCCGCATAGATCTGTATTTGTTTTGATCATTAACCAGTAAGAGGCTTCCATTTAATTTGCTTACATCAGGAACAACCTGGCAACAAATATGAGAGCTGCGTTTTCTAAGTAAAAGATACCTCTTTCAGTTGACTTCATTTAGCTCCAAGAAAACCATTCAACTCACATGCAAAAAGAACTCATTTTACAAGCTTTTGGATAACAGAATGCCTCTCCCCTTCAATCCCAAACCCTCCCCAGATCATAAATAGTATATTTTTAGCGCTTTGAGCCATTTAGAACATAAACAGATCGTGGTCGAAGAATGATTCCACTAATGTAAATTACCAGTCATAGATGTCAAGTCACGTTCCTCTATATTCATCAATGCACATCATCAGAGAAGGCACGCTAATAACCTTACTAAGTTTTCATGTCACCCAAGTTGGACCAGAAAAATAAGAATAGCCATAAAATGAGGGTAACTAAAGCTCAAAATAGAAAGGTCAAAGCTGTAGAGCTCAAGGCATGAGGCGACATTGTCACCTTAATAGTTCAGATTGACAGGTGAGAAACATATGGAGCTCAAGGCATCAGGTGGCCCTGTTCCCCAAGTACTTATGTAAACATATATTAGATGTTTTTCCACATATATGCAAGAAGATACGGCAAATTTACTTAACAGTTCAGAACCCTCTCTGCCCAACTGCAGAAAGGAAATTGGGTACTACTCACCTCGTGTGAGTGCCAACGTCTTCGATGACGAATTCGACCAGTAGGTGTTGAAGGTAAAGGGGGACTTTTGCTCTTCTGCATTGTACTTACTTTACTCTTACTTTAAATAACTGAACACAGCTTGCAGTAGTATGTCAACAAAGTGGAAAGGGGCTGAAGTTGCTTTATATAAGTCAAACTCGCGAGAATCTTGGAGTGCTC